ACTTTACCTTACGCATTTCTGCCTCATTATGCAAATATGGTGGGCGGAGCTACTTGGGTCAGCTGCTCTCCTATTGGTCAACAGACAGGAAGGAGCAGGATCCATGTGCGGATCTACTGTACAGGCTGCTGCCTCAGTTTATATTAAAGCTTAAAGTTTAGTTTAAAACAAAGGCAAGGAGGAAAACACTTACCTGTGTCTTTTTTTAATTCAATTGGTGCATTTTAAGCATATTTATTTATTTATTGGCCCTTTTACAAATTTCTGCATTTATTTTTAATTGTCAGTTTTGGTCCTCCATACATCAAAAACTCTCCCCTAATGTCTTTAATTCATTCTTTTTTCCCCCCTTTCCATTTGTTCAAAGATTTATTCATTTATTTGTTATTTATCCTCAGTGGACGTTAAAAGTCTTTCTTTTAATCAAATCTTTTCAGATGGAGTAAAGCTGAAGGAGGCACAGCCAAGTGAGTAAACTCGCAGTTCGCTGCGTGTTTTGTGCCTTTTGTCACCGAGCGTCAGGCTGAAATGAAGCTTTCCGTGCGTGAATGCTCTCCCTCTGGCGTTTCAGGCTCTTCGGGTTTGTGGCGCGCCGGCAGGGCAGCACGACGGACAACGTCAGCCACATCTTCGCCGAGCTGGACCCGGACCAGCCGGCCAGCGCCATCGTCAACTTCGTCTCGAAGATCGTCGCCTCGCAGACGCGATGAGAAGCGTCGGCCACAAAAAGTAAAAATAAATAAATAAAACCAACCCTGGCGCTTTAAAAAAAAAAAGCTTTGGTTATTTTCTCTCCCTTTTTTTTTTTTTTTACCACAGAAACCTTTGATTTTCACCTTCTTTTTCTGCTCCGTCACATTTTCTGTGTGTTTGGAAGCTGAGTGCAACTTTTTATTTGGGTCGGGCTTCAGAACGGACCAGAGGAAGTGCAGGATGGGGRTGTGGCTGCATGCGATGATGGGGTGTGGGGGGTGGGGGTTTCATCCCCCTGGAAGGGTACCTAAAAAAAAAACAGGAAGAGGGATTGAGATTTGGGTGTTTAAATGTCAAGTCGTTGCTTTTTTTTAATGTTTTGTTTAAGAAGTCAAGTCGTCTGATCTACGGTTGGATTGTTTTTCTATCAGGCTTTCGACTGGTCAACCAAAGATTTTACAGAAGTAGTCGGGGGGGTGTATAGTGTGCCACTGTGGGAAGGTCAGAAGTATTCTTTTGTACAACAAATATTGCTGCTTATTTAAAAGAAATACTGTTAGAAATAGATTCTTCCTGTATGTACTGATACTGTAGGTCAATTCTGCACCGACAAGCAAAAAAAGTTGAGGTTTTGCAGCTGTAAATATTCTAAATAGCTTTTTTTTAGGTAGAACTGAACTTAGATAACTTTTGGTGCCTGACTTTGTTGCCTAAAAACTATTCAAAAAAAGAAGAAAAAAATATGCAAGTTGTTTAAATATGCAAAACAGCCAAACTTGGAAATAAGCTTAAGGACTGAAGCTAAAGAGCGGCTCGTCTGAACGTGTTGTTTCAGCTGTTTGGCTGTGGGATTGTCAGTAAGAGTTACTGTTTGAGTCRTTGCATCCAATCAGAGAGAAGGGCTCTTTACTTCACTGAAGGGCCGACATCATCATTTAACCAAAACCGCCCCCCCTCGCCCTGCCCTAATGTAAGCTATACGTACATACAGTAGATATACAAAGAAATATATATAAACTTCCAGACAGTGATCTAAAATATTTATTTTTGTTTGCTTTGTTGCTCCATTTTATCTTGTATACATGTATTATAAAGTATACATCAAGCGAGAGGAAAGCTTTTATTTTAGCTGAAAGTGTTTTACATGAAAAAGGTGTAAAGTGTGTGCATTTAAGTGTATCACTGTTGTTTTTTTAAGTGTTCATATTTTCTTAAAGTCTGCTTTTAAGAGGGGAATTATTTTATAAGGAAGAATGTCCCAATTAGAGTTTTTTTTTTCTTTTAAAGTGACATCGAACACATTTTCTTTTATAAAACTGTCACAATTAGCACTTAAATGTTGAAAGTATTATCAGTGTGTTTCTTTTTTTTAATTTTTATTTTTTCAAAAGAGAGAATATTGTGTGTAAAAGCAGCATTACTGGTTCCTGTATTTGCTCACATCGCCTCAGATTTGGTCAAAA